GGGAGGGAGGGAGGGAGGACCTTCGGCAACCAAGGCTTGAGGGGCTCCCGGGCATGACGCCGCCCCTCAAGCGGCCCCCTCCCTGCTTTGCCCTTATTGTCAGGCAGCCCACCTGATTAACCTGCCTCATTTCAGGAGGAACCTCCGTTGGGCACCCCCCACCCCTGAAGCCTCCGATGATGATCGTCTTCCAGGGCTTTTTCCCCAGAGAATCCTGGGGACTGTAGTTTGAGGATGGTGCCAGGCACTCTGGGACACAGAAGGTCCCTCACAAGTCGAAACAAACTCCCAGAGGACTCTTGGAAACCCTTTGGGGAAAGAGTGACCGATCTTTTCCACAGCTGCCAAAATGCCCCCAGGAACTGGCCCCTCTATGGAGTGTTTTGCGGGGTCACTTTCAAAGCCCTTCCAGAAAGGGGGCCCCTGGTTAATCCAGGCCCCACTTCCCTGCCCAGGAGCATGGGGGGGCCGGGGGGGGGGCAGCGGCATGCCCGGAGGAGGGGCCCAAGGTCGACTTCTTCTGCTCCCTGCAGCCCCCTTCCTCTCCCCCCTCCCCCAGCTACTCAGAGCCAGAGGTTAGGAAGATGAGCTGGGAGGGGGGGGGGCTCAAGGGACTCTAATTATCCTCTAAGTGTGAACGCCAGAGTGATTAATTAAGAGATAATAAAAAGAAAAGCAGGCTGGAGAGGAAATAACGGCTGCTTTGATGATAAAACCTGAGCTAAGCCAAGCAATTAGGGGAATCTTTAGGAAGAGTTAGCTCTAATCCCCTGGTAGCCACTGCCAGGGAAGGAACCAGCAGGAGGGAGGGAGGGAGGGAGGGCCAGAGCTCCTCCAAGAAGGCACCCCGGCCCCAGCAGCAAAGGGTCCTCCCTCCCCTGGTTGCTTGTTCCACAGAGGTAGACTGCTCCTGCTTGTGGAACCTTGACCTTGGCCCCTCCCAGAGCCAAGGGAGAGTCTCAGCAGGAAAAGGACTGGCCTGGATGCCAGGGGGGGGGGGCAGCCGGGGGGGGGGGGGGGGGGGGGGGGGGCTTTGGGAGCCATCACCCCAAAGGTTGCCTTCGAGACAGGCTTGCAGAGTCTTCCACAAGGAGCGGGCACTGGGCCTGCTTGGTGCCTCACAAGGTCTCACTGCCACGGGTGCTTCCCTTCTTCCCAGCCTCTGACTCTTGGGAGGAGGCCGCCTCCAGCGGTTGCCCCCCCAATGACCCCCAAGGGCCATGGTCTCCCCTCCATTTCAGAGAAAAATGTCTGGATCTAAATGTCTCTCCCCAGATTCCTCACCTCTGGAGCGAAGCAGAGCCAGTGATGCCCTTTGGGAAGGACCCCTCTCTGCCCCCCACCACCACCACTCTGGCGACCAGGTGGGGATTTAAAGCTCTTGGCTCAGCATCGACCCCCCCCCCATTTCCTTAAGTGGCCTTTAGAACAGGAAAGGCCGGGGAGGGGGGGGGATCAGCTCCCTCCCCCACAGAAGCTGCGGGTGGGGGGGCTCTGCTGCAAGGAGAGGAGGACCAGCTGCGTGCAGAGAGCGCCAGCTGTCCTGCCTCGCAGGGCAGCCTGCCGGGCTCTGCAAAGGCTGGGAAGGGCATGAGGCTGGCAGAGGGCAGCCGTCAGGTGGGCCCTGGGGTGGGCTGGCCAGGCCTTCTGCTGAGCTGGGCTGCTGGGGACGGCCACAAGGGCCAGAGCCCAGGAAGGAGGGGGCCCCCTTCTGCCTCCTGTTGCTGCAGCTCTGCTGCTCAGAGGGTGCTGGGTAGGTGGGGAAGCAGCACTTTCCTTCCCGCTGCCATTCTCCTCGCTTCCCATCATCCCCAGCCTGGAGAAGCCAAGAAGATGCTGTAGCCTAGAACTGGGCCTGGATCTAGCACAGCTCAGCCCCTTTTCCTATTCCCAGAAACTACGATAGACTGCCCCTGTGGCTGGAGGCTTTGCCCAGCTTTTCCCTTCCCTGGAGACCTGCCGTTGTTCCTGAGGGCCGGAGCTGCTAAGAGCGGAAGGTGCCCAGTTAGGTCATCCCACCCGGCCTCCCTCGGTGGGAAACCAGACGCCTCAGTGGGGAGCCCCCCAGGCGGGACTGGGAGGCAAGAGAGACCGAGGGGCTGGAAGTGCCGTGCTCGGCCAGCCACCTGGGCCGGACAACAAGGCCCATGAATCCCAGCCAGAGTGGCCCATGGCGGCGGCAGCTTCTCCGGCTCCCTCCCCCGTTTCCTCCCCTGACAAAGAGCCTTTCAGATTCGCCCCTTCTGCCTCTTGAAGAGGGGATGACAAATCATCCACGGGCAGAATGGCTCTGAAAATGAAGGAATATTTCAATTTGTGACATGCCATCATGGAAAGACCCCTGCCGGATGATTGAAAGAGGGCGGAGGGGAAGACAAATGACTTTCATTTAGATAAAATACAGAAAATTATTTTGTGAAAAATGAGGAGCGATGGAGCTCGGCCAGTGGCAGCCCAGCAAGCCCCCCCCCCATTCCGAAGACGTGGATGTCGGCTTGCCCCCCCTTCTAATTAAGTGCCTGCGTGTCCTTTGAGTGGGGGAGGGGGAGCCCAAGGGGCTTCAGCTTCTCTTCCCTCGCTCCCTTCCCCAGCCTGGGCCTTTGCAGACATGCTGACTACAAGCCCCATTACCCTCAGCCAAAGCTCTGGTCCCAGCAAAAGTCTGCAGGTCTGGAATGCCCAAAGAAAATCCATGGGGGGCGGGGGGGAGTGTCCGAGCCCCCTTCACAGGCCCTGTTTCTCATTAGCCCCTTAATAGCCTGGGGAGGCCTTGTCCCATAAAGCCCCCTATATCCCTATGCATCTCCAAGGAGGGCCTGCCCCTCCCCCCCCAGGAATGCTGCCCTCTGGGGCCCCCTCCCCCCTTCCAAAGGTCTGTTTCCTCCCAATCCCATCAGAAGCCCTCCTCCCTCCTGCCTGGATTGATGGAAGGGGGCCCTGAGGGGAGGGGCTGCCCCATCTATGCTCTCCCACTCCAGAGCCTGCCCCCCCCCGCCCCCCATGGGGCCAAGAGGGCAGTCAGCTTCTGTCACCCACATCAACAGTTTAATCCCTCCCCTCCATGCCTCCCCCCCCCATCCCTGGACAGAAGGTGTTGTTCCTAAGGGCTGAGTTAGGCCATCCCACCCCGTCTCCCCTGGTGGGAAACCAGGCGCCTCAATGGGGAGCCTCCCAAGGGGGAGGGGGTGGCGAGAGGCAAGAGAGGGTGTTTTTGAGGTGAATTCCTAAAAAGAGATACACAATTGGGGAAGATGGAGATATACGCACCCACCCACAAGCTTGGAAAACACCCAGGCACCTTCCTCCGCCATCTCTCGCGGTAGAGTGCGTCTGAATGTGGGGGGTCCACTGAAGAGGCCTTGCTCTCAGGCCGGGCTCAGGCCGGGCTTCTGGCCTTGCCTCCTTGCCCCATCCCTGGCAGAGAAAGATTTTTTTCCAAGTCCCCAGCCCACTCCCGAGGCACCAGGTTGGGCCTTTGGCCTGACCCACCTCCAGATGCTTTCAAGCTTTTTCTTCATGGAAACCCTTTGTACAAGTCTCTAGTCCTCATGGCTCCCCCACCCCCGCCCCCCAAATCAGAATTCCATGAAATCATTCAAGGAAGATTCTTTTTCTCTGCTACCTACATTTCTGTGCAAGATCCCACAAATGCTGAAAAATGCACTGGAAGCTGCCCCCCCCCCAGCTGCCTGAAGGAGCCCAGTTGTGACTGAGATGCAAGCCAGTTAAACACACACACACACACACACACACACACCATTTTATAACTATTAGTAACGCTAGCTGTTTATGGCATAGGAGATGGGAAAGGGAGAATGACGTCAGTCTTCACCCCCCTCCTCAACCCTCCCCAGCACAGCCACCTCGCTCGGATTCTGCCTGGCCCCCGCCTCCTCCGGGAGCCCCGCCCCCACAAACGCCGGAGACCGGGCTCCCCCCTCCAGGGCCGTCCCGGGGCGGGCGCCATATGCAAACCAAGGATGCCACGGGCGCGAGGGCCAGCCGGTCCCTCTTGGGAGCTCCGGCTCCAGCAGCATCGCAGGGCCCGGCCCCGTCTGTAGAGAGAGGAGCCCGCGCAGCGCGAGCCCACCGGGCCCCCCTCCCAAACATAGTCGCCATCCGCCGAGCGGCCCACCGGCACGCGCCCCAATCCGGGCGCCAAGGACGGGCGGACGCCCGCCGGCGCTTGGCAGAAGACTCCCCCCCCCGACCCCGCCTGCCCCGGGGACTCTTCCTGAACGCCGCCTCTGGTTGGTCCGGAGGTGGGGGACGTTCCCCCGCCCAATCCTGGAGCGCTCCTGCATCCCCCCCGCCCGTCTTAATTTCAACTCCAGGCGGGACGTCGAAAGGAAGCGAGGCGAGGCCGCCCGAGGGAGGAGTGAGCGGGCAGAGAGCCGCTTTTCCATTTCAGCTCGCGCTCGCTCCTTGCTAGGAGCCGCCCCCTTCCTTCGCCCCCCCCCCCCGCGCCCCCCGCGGCGCCGCCCCCCCCCCCCCCCCCCCCCCCCCCGCCCCGGGGCTCGCGGTCCACGCGCGAACAACTTTTGCCGCCCCCCCCCCCTTCCGCGCGGAGGACAGGGCAGCGAGGCCATCGCGCGTCGCCCGCCTCCGAAGCACAGGGCTCGGCTGAAGGGCTGCGGAGGAGGGAACGAGGGGGGCTCCGGCTTCTGGCCACTGCTGGCGGGGACCCGACCCGCGCCGACGCCGTTCCTTCAAAGACAGCCTGGCGGCGGGTTTGGGGCGGGCGCGGCTGCTCCAGCGGAGCTCGGCCCGGCCCGGCCCAACTCCGCAGCGGGCTGTTGCACACCAGTCGGCCACGCCGGAGGTGGCCGCCTCTCTGTCCCACGCCGCGAAGCCTCCTCCAGCGAGCGAGCCATCCCTGCCCGGCCCGAGAGGCGAATCGGAGATCCGGGGAGGCGCCGGGACAGTACGCCTTCTCGTGGCGGGTCAGGCGGGGGACCCTCCGGGCGGCGAGCAGGGGCGGCCGTCGGGGTGCCGCTTACCTTGCGCGAAGGCGTCCTCGACTCCCGAGAAGACGCACAAGAAGACCAGCAACGGCAGCATCGCTCCCGGCGCGGCGGGGCTGGGTTCAGCACTCGCCCGCCCGCTCGGGGCCTCCTGCTACCCCGCGCGCCCAGCGCCGTCTTCGCCGCTGCTCCTTCCAGCGAAGGGGAGGAGAGGGAGGAGAAAGGAGGCGGGAGAGGAACCTCTGGGGTGGCGGGCGGGGGAGAGGGAGGAGGAGGAGGAGGAGGCGGGCAGGGGGAAGGAGCGAGGAAGGGACCGTCGCCGGGGAGCGAGCGCGCGCCGGATTGGCCCAGCCGGGCGCAGGGAGGTCCGGAGACGGGGAATGCCGCTGCGCCGCCAGCCACGCTGCCCGCGCGCCCTGAGCGATGGGGATGGGAGTCCGGCGCTGCCCAGCGCCCAGGCCGGAACTGGCGGCCAGGCGAGGGGGACGCTCTCGCCGAGACTCCGGCTTTCCCCAGCTTGGCCAGGGGCGCCGGGGCCGAAGGGTCTCCCCTTGCGAGGATGGCGGGTTGGGGGAGGGCAGATGGACGGCAACCTCACGTTTCTACCACAAGGTCCCCGCGGGCCCGACCGCCGCTTACCTCCCGGCGGGGCTGCACAGAGGCAAAAGCCGCAGCTTCCCGGGAGAGGCTCCTCTCGCGCTGCCGCTGTCTTCGGCTCCCCCATCCTGCGCCCGCTGACCTCCCTCTCCCACCTCGCACCTGGTAGGATAGCAGGATGTTTCTGAACATGCGTAGAGTGCCTCTCCCTCGGCCCGGACCAGCCCGGGCTTGCGTGGCTGATCTGCGACCCATCGTTTCGGCCGCGGCTGATCTTCGGAAGCCTAACGGGATGGGATGACGAGCCGGCGGATGATGAGACGGGGAACCCCCGACATCCGGAGGTCGGACCTGTGTCAATGCCGGGGGGTTTCGAGCGGCCCGAGCCGAGCCTTCCGTCCTACGGGCGTAGAAGGTCGTTCGCAGAGACCCATCCACAGGAACTACCGCCGGGGGCTTCCTGGTGGAGTGGTCGGAGCCCGACCCTTCGGCCCTAACCGGAGAAGCGGGGTCTGGGACTGGGAAGGTTGATGGGCTCTCCGAGCTAACGTGGGGGGGAGCAGGCCGAGGGTCTGGACACCCCCGCCCCAACTCGCTTTGTGGCCGCCTAGGAGGCTCCGGCAGGACACAGCGTCTCCCAGGAGGAGGTCAGCTGCGGGCTCTGTCCGGCGCTCCTCCCTCCTGGCCTTCGAAGTCAGAGCCGGCCTCGTCCCCGGCGGGGCTGCAAAGGGCTCCCCTCTGCCCCCTTGGCCAGCCCCCGGAATCGGGAGGCCTCTCAAGCTGGCCTCGCCCCCGGCAATTCAGGGGCCTCCGGGGCGACACAGCACCCTCTCCTCCCCACAGCATTGAGCGAGAGGTGGGGAAGCGACAAGGAGGAGCGTAACTTCCCTGCCCCCCCCCCCCCCCCCCCCCCGCCTTCCCCTTTGGACACACCGGCCGGGATCCGTGCGAAAACTTCCGCCTTCTTTCGCTCCCTCCGAAGTTGGAAAGCGCTTTTCTGAAGCTCCCTGGCGCCCTCCGGTGGTGACAAGCCCTCAAAAGGACGGCTCTCCCTGGCGGGGCGGGGAGCGCCCCCCCCCCCCCCCCCCCCCCCCCCCCGCGGGCGCGGCCCCCCCCCGCGGGGGGCGCCCCCGCGGGGGGGGGGGCCCCCCCCCCCCCCCCCCCGGGCTCCAGAAAAGTTAGGCTTGGCGTGCCCGCTTGAAGGTAGCTCCTTCAAAGGCTAGAGGTACCAAAAGGGAAACTGAGGCGTCACGCCCCACCCAGCCTCAGCACTGGCATATGCTAGAGGCAGCCTCTCGCCGTAATGAACGTTTGAATGAATGAATGAATGAATGAACGGTTCCATTCACAGTCTCTCTGGGCCTGAGTGCCCCTCTGCCATGCGCAGCTCCTCGGTCGTGGGCAGAGGCTGCTTCCCAAAAGATGGGCTGCCCTTTCAAGGGCGCCGGGTTTCTCTGGAACCTCCTGCGGCTGGTGTTTGATTCCCCACCACCACCCCCAGCTGGCTTTTTCAGGGGGGGAGGGTCTACTGGCAGCCACCCCCCCCCTTTGCTCCCCCTCTTCTCCCCATCCATTCCCAGGCACTGGGGGCGGACAGCAAAGGACCCTCGAGGAGAAGGAGCGCCCAGAAGGGGGCACTGGAAGCCTGGCCTGATCCACCAGCCGCCCACTTGAGTAATATTCCCAAGAGGGCATTTAGACAGAAGCCCGAGTGAGTTATTTAGTGAGAACATTAAGACGGCACAGGATTACTTATTTATGGGAACTTCTTGGCAGATCTGTCACTCAATAATTTATACCACTCAGCATTTAGCAGGGTCGCCAGTAAATAATTCAATTATTATAAACTAAGGGATGCTTTATGATATCTTGAATTACAGCTTCCCCTCTGATTCAGGACCATAAATATGAGGAGCGGCGACCGCCTGCCCTGTGCCCTCACTGGGCTCCTCACAGTGCTCTTGCCTGGCGGATGGGAAAGGCTGGCATTGGCCCCTCTGCTGGCGCTCGCATGGCATCTCCTGGGCACCATGGCCTCACGCAGAATGCAAGCGCAGACCAGCCAAGGAGCCCTACTTGCTTCAGGCAGAGATGGAATCACTGGGTGGCCCCAGAAAGATCTGCTGCCGAAGGGCTTCAGCCGAGGTCAATCGTGGCCGTATTTCAGAGCTGGGCACTGTCTCCAGGGCAGCCCATTGCCCCCAGAAATGATGAGGTTGGGGAACCTTCCCCCCCCCACGCACCCCGACACATGCAGGCCGGCTGGGGAGGGCTGTTCCTGCCACCGGCTGCAGCTCCAGGCACCAAGGGCAAATGCCCAGAGGCCTCTCGGTCCCCCCAGTTTTGCGCTTTGAGTGGGCTTCTCCTGAGAAGTCGCCCTTCCTGCACCCCTTGGGAGAGGGAGCCCAAGGGGGTTCCCTGCCTGGCAGGGCTGCTCACTCCAGGACAGACAGTGCAGCCAAACAGCAGGCAGCCCAGACCCGGGGCCAGCAAGCAGAGGGGCTGGGTTGCAGCTGGGGCAGTTGGGAAGAAACGCTCCCTGGTCTCACACCCTCCTCCTTCTCCTCCTCTGAGGAGGGTCGGCTCTATTGGCGGGGGAAGCCAAGGCTAGAGCCGGCCAATCAGTTTCCTGGGTAGCACGAGGCCAGCCAACGGTGGCTTGGAAAAGAAACCAAGGCAACACCTGCGGGGCTTAGCTCCAGGTAGGAGCCCAGTTTCTCTGAGTCCCGGGTTCAGCTTCTGCTAAGCCAGTGGCAAGTCAGCGCCTGCCCCATCTAGCAGTTCCCAGTGGGGCAGAGTTGGAGTAGCCATCAAGGGCTGTCCTTTGGGAGGCAGCCAGGCGAGCTCAAGCCCAGGGGTCCTTCCTGCCTCCTCCACCAGGACTGACCCTCCTCTTCTCTGCTTCTCCTTCCACAGGACCCCCCACCCCCCAGAGGACCACACAGAAAGGCTTCACCTCATCTTTTAATGGGTAACATCAGGCAAAGGGCCCCTCCCGAAGCACTTAGACACAACCGATGCTCATCTGGAAACAGGGAGAAAAGCGGCTTTTCAATCAACGGACAGGTTGCTCCTCCGGCCTTAAGAACTGGCGCTACAGGGACCCCCTGTGCCAGCATGTGGGGGCCCGAGGGTGGGCTGGCGTGGAGATGCCTCGAGGGGTGTCGAGGCCCATGAAACAAGCAAAGGGGCTGAAGCTGATTAAACATGGCTTAGAAGAGCTGCGGATTCCCTGGAATAAAAGAAGCCATTATAAAATTCTCTGATTCTAGCCTTTCTCAAGGAAAGAAGAGTCCCCTCTGGAGCGTTGCTTGACTTGGTCTACCCGGAAGGGCTGGTGCCACGATAAGCTTTCGTCAGGCCCTTTCGGCTGCCCCATTTAAGCGGCTGGGGGCCAGCCGGCCGGGGGAAGCAGCCGCCCAGGGTCTTCTTGGGTCACAGCAGCAGCAGAGCAGCAGCCAGGGTGGGCACCAGGAGTCCTCTGACCAGGAGAGAGCCCAGCGCCCAGGGTCCTAAGGCAGGAGAGGGGAAGGGAAGGGAAGGGAAGGGGGGGTCATTAATACTTTGGCAGCCCATCCAAAGGAAGCCAAAGTCATGGGGGGGGGGGAATGGAGGCTGATCTGAGCCATGGAAATCGGGTGAGGGGAGCCAGAAGAGGGGGCTACCTGAGGGGGGGGGGGTTCTGCCACTGAATTGGGCAACCAACTCCATAGCCTGGTGGCAAAAGAGCTGAGAGCCACACAAATCCCTGGATCTTTGCATTAATCTGAAAAGACGGACTAACTTCACCCACCCTCCTCCAGCACTGGCCAGGCAGAGTCGGGCATCTCCATCCCCTGGGTGGACAGGAAAGCCCGGCCGGCCGGATTGGTAGCAGATTTCAAGTTGACCTGGTCTTTGTTTCGCTTGGGAGATAGGGCAGGGCAGCCTGGAGTCAACTGCCCCACCTAGTTGAATTCGGCCCCCAAAATAAGGATCGGCAGAAGTGCCAAGACTTTGCCAGGGGACCCGTTCAGTGGCGCTTGCCGACTGGAAGATTTGGGCTCCTCCCCAAAACAAGGACTGAGGGCTGAATTTTTATCCCAGCCTCAAGCAGGCAGGCATTTCTAATGGCCGAGGGAGGGGACCTGCAGCAGGGGGCAGGAATGCTGGTGCCAATTTGTTGGTGCCAAGAAGGAGGGGCACCTGCACTTCAGGCAGACATTGGTGCTGCGAGTCTGCCTTCAGGGGGTGTGCGGAAAAGTCCTTGCCAGCTGCAAGTGGCTTGGCTCAGCCACGGGGGGGGGGGGGGGGCGTCTTGGGCAGGTTCTGCCTTTTACCTGGACTTGCAGTGTTGGGAATACAGGAGTGCTGGAGGACGAGGCTGAAGGACATCTGGGCGGTAGAGGTCTGGGCCATGCAGGTGTAGGCCTTCCTCTGGTTGCGGTGCACCAGCTGAGTGAGCCAGGACGCCTGGCTCAGGGTGGTGCCGGCCTCGGTGTCCTTCCAGGTGTAGGTCACTCTCTGACCATGCCCCATCCCTGCCTCACAGTCCAGATAAATGTAGCAGGAATCATTCCCCAAGGAGGAGACCCTTTTGGTGATGTCTGGCAGGAGAGACAGGAGGGGTGCAATTCAGAAGGAGCAGGAGAGAAGACCTAGGATTCTGAAGCAGGAAGGGACCCTTGAGGCCATCCAGCCTAACCCCTGGACCTTTCCAGGGAAGCAGAATCTTCCTTCCCTCGAACGCAGAATAGTTTTCTAGCTGTGCAGCAAAATTAATCAGCTTTTGGAACAGGCTACACCACAACTTTTGCCTGTCTTGCACAAACTTACAATATGTGACTGAGGAACTGAAAGTTCTACGGAGGAAAAAAAATGAGCAGCGAAACTGCTGCTCAAAGCACTAAGCTAATGGGGCGAGGATTCGGCCAGAGAGGTCTGAAAATCAGACCAACCGAGGCTTGTCTTTTAAGAACATCCCCTAGCTCAGCCGAAAGTAGGGTGACACCCCCACCGCCGCCCAGACTCATATCAACGTTTCATGCATTAACAGTCAAGAAATGGGCAAACAAGGAGAAATGTGGAACTCAAAGGGACTTGATTTCCTGGAGATCAGTTTGTCCCTTACGCCAAGTCATGCCTTCTCCAACTTTCCAATACCTACAAAACCCTCTCCACTTCCTCCTCTTCCTCAGGGCAGCCTGAGCGGAGGGACCGTCTGCATGCGACTGCTACTTATCTGCCATGCAAGGAGATTCCTTACTGAATACGGCCACCCGAAAGCTGCTGAGCAGTTCTGGTGTGGGAGTGCTGAAGCTGGTGGAGATTTCGTAGGTGGTCCCGTCGCCCAAGCTGAGGTTGGCAATTCTGAAGGCCATCTGGTCTTCCTGGAAGGCCACCCGGTTGGCGTAGTCAATGTCTAGAATCGTGATCACTTTGGACTCCATCCAGATGGCGATGGCTTGTTTTCTCAAGGAGTCCCTCAGGAGGAGGTTGGTGAGCTTCTGGCCCTTGGGAAGGGTCACCGGCAGTGTGACGGCATCCCCCACACGAACCGACTTCAAGGCGGCCTCAGGTGAGGAGGCTGCTCCTGGGACACAGGGGAGAGAGGAGCACGTTCTGACGCCCCCCACCCACCCAGGAAAGCCTCCTTGGAGACCCGGGGGGGGGGCGGGACAGGACAGGACCAGCCACCCAGGAGACCCACTGATGTCCTTCTGGTGGGGGGACAATTTGCAGAAATAAATGCTCCCCTAACAGCTGTGAAACACCAGCCAGTTCCTTCTCTCCCAACTCCTTACGCCAGTTCCTTCAAGCCTACACCGGCTCTCCCACTCCCCAGCTGTGCTCAGGGCCCCCCTCCCAAATACTCCATTACACTTTCCATTCTGCTACTGTCCAGGAAACAACGCTTTCTGCGGCTCAGCGCCACAAACTGCCGCGCCTTGGTCCCCTTCCATTTCCCTGGACTTCGGTGGAAGCTGCCAGTGTGGCCCCCAAGGGAGGTTGGGCTTTCCTGCTGTTCAGAGACCCACCCAGAGGGGCACCATGCCCGTCTGTGTCCAGGTGAAGAAGCCGAAGGAGGAGACCATTCCTCAGGAGACACCCCCCCCCCCCAGGTTGGATCCCTCCACTTAGCTGCCTTGCTGAGCAAAAAGCAAAGCCAATTCAATCTGGGAGGCTCCAAAGAAGAGCACCTCTGAGCATGGAAAAGTGCCCTTGGAGGAAGAACATCGGTTGCCCCAGCCATTCCCAGCAGAAGAGGCCCCTCTCAGAGCCCTTCCTGTGGCTCACCTGCGGAGCAGAACAGTAGGATTGCCAGGAGGAGGTGGGAGTCCATGTCGGCCCTCCGGAGACAAACGAGCAAAGTGAGTCACAAGGAAACGGGCGTCTCCTCTTCCCTCCCCCCCCAGAAGGAACTCCCTTGTTCCTGGGGGTGGTCTGGAGAGCAAGTCACATGCCTCAGCTCTGTTGAGTGAGAAGGGGAGGAAGCTTCGGCGGGAGGAGAAGCCCCCACTACTCAGCAAAGTTCAGGGGAACAGGCCCTTGGCAGGTGGCGAAACGCAGCCGCAGCTCAAAACGTGCCTCCGTCCGGGGCCCTGGGGCTCAGAATGCGGGGAGGGCCTTGGCTCCATTATCACTGCTGCTGCTGCTGGAGCTTCTTCCGTTTTGGGGGGTGGATGCTTTTTATTGTTTTTTATAATTGCTTTAAATGCTTTATAATTTTAGAATTGTAAGTAGTCCAGAATTTTTTTGGGGGGGAGGGGTATTGCAATAGAATAGATCAATAGATAAAACTCCTGGCCTCAATTCCACCGTATAAATTTAACAAACAATTTATAGGTCCAACTGGAGGGCTCAAAACCTCCCCAGAACCAAGACTTCTGGAAAAAATATGCAGTTGGTGCAACTTGTGGTTTCCAGCTTAACTCCTACAAACCCTGACCAGAGCCAGCTGCACGCTTTCCAAGTTCAACATGGCGCAACCATGTTCTCCAGGACAGAAGACGAGATGTCTTTCTTGAGTAAACATCTAGGTAAAACAATGGCTCCTCCAAGTGTTGCCTTGTCTGGCTGGTATTTCAGGCTCTGGTTGGCAGAGCGTCTTCGTGGAGGGGAGGGGGCAGCCTCACCCAGGCCCTTTCCGAGCCAAGAGGGGCTTCCTGGGGCCCAATGGGCGCCAACCTTCCTTCCTGTCCATCGCTGGGGGCCTCTGCCTTTGCCTTCTACGGACCTTGGGTGCTATCTGAGTCCCTGCTTTGCTAGGGCGTCGCCGCTTGCTATGCTGTCTTGCTGACTTGCTATACATCTGCTGTTAACTGCAATTTTATGACTTGGGGGTGGGGTTGTCTGTCCAGAACCGAGCAAACTGAGTAGTGTCGGAAACTGATCATAAATAAGGCCGCGGGGGACGTGGACAAAAGGATGCCGTCCGGAGCCTTGGGCCGAGAGACACCGGCACTGGCCCAGCAACCTGCCCAAACCGAGGGTCCTGGCAGCGGAGAGGACTTCAGAAGCTGCCGAAGCCCAGGGAAGCAGAGCGCGTTGGGGACCGAAGCCCCGGAGGAGGCTCGTCTTCCTCCCTCCGAGTTGAAGCGCGAAGCGCGAAGCGCAACGCTCCGCAGCTACTGCGTTCATTCGGGCCGACTGCGGCTGCACCGGGCTCGGGGCTCGGGGCTGGGCGGGCAGGCGGACCGGAGCAGTCCACCGAGTCGAAAAAGGACGCCCTCCGGTGGCGGCGAAGCCTTGTCCAGATTGCAAAGGGGGCGCCTCTGGGCGGAGTAAATTCTCCACCGCTTCTGGAGAGAAGGCGCCGAGACCAAAGCGGGGGAGCTCAAGGGAAGCCGAAGGGGGCCCTCTACTCTAGGAAGCGCCTTGGGTGGGTCACTAGCTGGGAGACCCATCGGTCGCGCCCCGCCTGGCCCCGATCCCTCCTCTTGGCCGGGAACGACGCTCGCGTGGGAGGAAGGACCCCCGATTCTAGCTGGAAGGCGGTGGGACCGTTTGGGGTCTGGAAAGAGCCGAGCGAGACACGTTCGCTGCGTTTCTCCAAATCCCGCTGTTTCTGGGCCGTTGTGGGACGCTTCCCCGCTGGAAAAACGCGGAGCGATGCAAGGCGGGATTGCTCTCCAGTCCGCCCCACTGCCCACATGTTGGGGTTGCACCCGAGGACTTCCGTTGAAGAGGCCACCGTGCGGTAATCCTCACTCTCTATTAAAGCAAGGTCTCCGAGACATTCGAAAATCTGACTTTTAAACTTGTCTTTATTTAGTGATTTTGTTCTAAACAGAAAAAAAAAACCAGCTCCCTTTCACCCGCCAATAAAATTGGACTTTTAGTGCAAAAAGTCTTCTTCAGTGGATAAAAACCTTCATATTTATGAAGTACAGTACATAATTAATAGGCACAAAATAAACTTTTTAAAAAATGGAAACCAGATTAACATGCAGTTTGAACTCAGTCATCAAAACACCCGTCCTTATTGCAGGGGTGTCTTGTGTGTTGTGTGCAATAACTCTCAGAGACTCTGGTTGATTCAGCCACACAAAGCTGAGAGTCTGGTAGTATAAAAGGGCCGGAGAAATGACCACCAGTCACAGGTTATGGCCAGCTTGGACTCTGCCCAGGAAACCTTTCCTTTGCCCCTTGCTTATTTGCTTCCCACCCCTCTCAGGAAAGTTTGCAACCCATCTGGGTGTGTTTGTGGACGGCTGGCCTGAGACAGGCAGGGCATCAGCTGGGCGGCCACCCCGGATGCTTCTTCCTCCCTCTGAGCAGCTGGGAGGGACTCTGGTGCGGAAACTTGAAGCTGGCCTGGCTCCTCAGGGCCATGAATGCGCAATGGAGAGGTGTATTGCACCACCCTAGTTCTTGCATTGAGCCACCCTAGTTCTTGTTCCTGTTAGAAAGTTCTCTTTTCGTTTTCCCGTCTGCGTGCCTGAACCCCCAACTCTCTGGAAGAAACAGTGGGAACCCCTCCTCTATTCCGTGCAGCATCTTTGTTTCCAAAAACAAACAAACAAACGTGTTCTTTCTTTATTCGAGGCCTGCAAATTTGGTGGGGCCAACCTCACCCGAGGAGGCCCTTTCCTCCTATGGGGAGGAGGACACCTGACCCTTTCTAGCCCTGGGTTTAGAAAGGAAGAAGAATTAACCTCCTGCCCCCTCTTCGTGTCTCCCAAAACTTTAAGGCCTGATCTCCATTAGACCCAGATGGATTTGAATGGCAAGTACTGATCCAGCTGGTCTCTCCAAATCTCCAGGCCTGCATTCGCCTGGCGTTTGCCTACGGATGCCATGGGGCTTGGAGGAAAACAGACCGAATGATGATTCTGTGAAATTCAGGGAGAGGAGTCGCAATTCATTTTCTAGCCAAAATTCACATGCAAGCCAGGAATGAGGATTTTAGGTCAAAGCATTTCAAGCTATCTATGAAGTGCTATCTGTTAGGTATATGTCCAGGCTGCAAACTTAAAAAAGGAAAAGAAAAAACAAAGGGAAGGAAGGAAGGAAGGAAGTCTCAGGAACTGCTAATTTTGTGTTAAAATTTTAAAGCTGTGGGAGAAAGGGATGAGGACTGCAGTGCAATCTCTGATGAACTTCCTTTTTGGTGCTGACAGCATTGTGTCTGCTCTTTAACTCGTTTTTGACAAAGTGCAACATCACTCCTTCACTCCTTTCTTCTTTGCTTTCTGTTTTTTTTTTTACAAGTACCAACATATAGATCATTTATATAAATAAACATATATAAATATCATAGTAGACATTTATGTCCCACGAGGAAGCTACGTTCTCCCTCTTTCTTGATGTGCAAAACACCAGTTTGGACTCTTCTGTTCCCATCAGAAACCATCCAGGCCAGGCCAGCTTGACTCCTGCGCAGAACAGCAGGGTTGAGCCCCCCTGGCCCACCACCCAATTGATCCCACTGTCAGTGGCTGCTGCAGACCAGAGGTTTTCACGCCTCGCCTCGCTCCTCCAGCGCCAAGACCCTTGGAAGACCTCAACAGGCTCAACTGGAGAGGCAGGCGGGTGGGCGGGCTCTCCTGGGGGGTGGGGGTGGGGGCAAAATTTCAGGGCGACCTTGACTGAAGTGGGCATCCATCTGCAGGCAGCGTGTGCCCAAAGTGACTCCTTCTCTCCCGAGCAGATTTTTTTCTGGCACAGTTTGGGGAGCTGGCAGGTTCCCCCTTGATCAGGCACCCTGCCTCAGTTTCCCTTCTACATTTGCTGAAATATCCTACCTTTTGAAAGAAAATACTTGGGCTGGGTTTGGCTGGATGAAAATGATACGGACGGAGCTTGTGGAAAAGGCACCACCAGCAGATTTTGAGCCAGCTTGGAATCCAGAGGGTTTCCCCAGCTGACAGCCTCTCCTTCTCCTCCTCCTCCCGCTTTCTCCTCCCCACTCTGACTTTTCTTTCCAGCTGCTCTTGGAGGGCCCACTTGCTCTGGGCAGCTGCCTCGCCTTCTTGGGTTTAAAAGGTGCAGCATTTTGATGGTTTACAGTAACAACACAAAAACGGCAGCTGTGATCACGCAGGGTGTGTGTGCGTGTGTGTGTGCGTGCAGAGGCTGGGACCCTCACGGGTCCTCCTCAAGGCTCCAGCCACCCGTGGCTTGGGGATCCCATGACCCAACGTGGCCAGAGCAGAGCTGCCTCCACGGAAGCCTCCCTCGCAGGGGGCCTCCGCCACGGCCACTCTCAGGCCTGTCTCCCTGGTGGTGCATTGGGCTGCCCTGGTGAGCCCGGCCTCCGTCTCTGCCTGGTCGGAGGAAGGGGGCAAAACAGAAGCGCACAGGGGGCGGAAGAGTTCCTTTTCTTGGGCGCTGCCTTCTCTTTGGGGGAGCCGCTGCCCGCTCTGTAGCTGAAGAGGCTGGCAGGGGAGCAGGGGGCACCCCGGCCAGGGGAGGAGGGAGGGGGGGAGGCTGCGTCAGACACCTAGAAGCTATGAGAGGCCGGTTCCCCCAGGGGGACTCAAACGTTGCTGATCCGCACACTCAGCGGGACGCTTTCCCGCTCGGCTTTCTCCCGGAAGGATTCCTCCAGCTTCAGTTTCTCAGGGTCCCCGAGCCGCGCGGTTTCCTGGAGGCAGCACGGAGGGGCCACCTTGATCACTTGCTCAAAGAGGCTGAAGTCGGCCACATACTTCCCGCTGGCCGAGAGAGAGATGACCGGAGTGAACTCGTAACCCCACAGGATCTCCTCGGGCAGGTAGGAGGTGCGCACCTGGCAGGTGGCGCTGGTGGACTCAACAGTGCCGCTGAGGATGACCACCAGCTCAAAGTCACCTTCTCCGGTGCGCAGGCCCAGGTCCCGGAAGGGGCTGCGCTCGTTCACCACATGGTAGAAG